ACTGTGATCTGGCAGTTTCTGGCTCGGGGTTATGTGACTGCTTTCATTTCTTGAGTTGGCAGATTGCAGAGAAGCAATCACAGCAACCATATTGATTTTAATCTGCTGAAATATTCACTTCAACTTGCACTCTGTAATTCTGTGCGAGCAATTTGATGTGACCACAAATTCCAATAATAGAAATTGTGTTGTCTCTCATACAAACAAACCCCAGTCTCTGATAGTCTTGCCCGCTGCGGAGCCCTGGAGAGCCTGGTGAATGACATGGCAGATGACACATGGAACAACAAAGCCGAGAACAGGATCAGTGCCATTCGCTTCCTGGATGACGACGAGGAGGAGGATGACGACCAGGTGAGACCAGCAAGCTTGAGGGGAAATCCATCCAGTAGTTGCTGATATTGCACACTGAACCACAAATATTAACCTGCTGGTGGCGCTTGAAGAAATGTCAGTAGGCTTCATCCTCTGTGGACCATAAATAAAATACATACAGAATCTGATGACAATCCATGATATAGATTCTGAGATATCTCAGTCTGGACTGAAGTAGTGGTCTGCAATGACAGACTGACATCGCTATACACATTAGCCATTAGCAGATGCTGGGCATTTGCATTCAGTCATTCTATAATGACCCTTAATTATGAGGTAGCCTTTAGCCAGCCTCGTCCCTTAACTCATCTCTTCTAAGCTCACCACATACAAACGATTCCTATTTTTGCTGCAGATATGTACCACTAATTTGAATTGGTTTGCTCCACACAGGGAACACTCCTTCGGCGGGCCACGCCTCACCCTGGCGAGCTGAAAACAATGAAGAAAGCGGCCGAGAACCTGCGCAACGACATGAACGCTGCCAAAGGCCTGGACTCCAACAAAAACGAGGTCAATAACGCCGCAGACAGAGTGACCACGTCTGTGTGACCTTTACCTCAGAAATGTTTTTTACCTCCTGTGTCTCGCTGTATCGTCCTGCACAACCCCGCAGCCCCTCTTTTTTTCCTTTTACCTACGAACCCCAGTGTGGCCTACCCCTCCTCCGATTCAACCCTGGGACGCCTGTAACCTTACTCCATCTCCAGTCCTGTGTAAAACGTGTTTGACTCAGTCTATCGGGGCCGCGGTGCCTTCCTCTTTTTAATTAATGTCCACAGCAATAATCTGCACAGAAACTCCTTTTTAAAAGATATTTTAAAGATTTATTACTTTTTTTAAATGCCTCTTTTCAAAAAATATACATTAGGTAGTTGCACTATTATAGGTCTTTATAATATGGTCAAACCTTCGTAAATGTATTATATATTTGTTCTATATCTATTTTTAAAACACTGGGTGAATACTTCTTTTTACATTTTGGGCAAACTTAAAAAGGCAGGAGTTTTTGAACCTACTGATTAAAGATTATTGTATAGTCTCTTGTGAATATTGATACTTTTATACTTTTTGGCAGCTCAGATGTAAATAAATGTATAGCAAATTTCTTAATCAGTTGCCGATGTTTTAACTTTTTTTTTTTCTCGGTACTTTTTCTTTTTTTCCTTTTTTCTCTTTTAAATCAAATCAAAGCAATGAACAAAAAGCAGTCACTAATGTCTTATTCAATCCATAAAATTGTCATTGGGGTGAGTGGATGACCTTGAATCCTGTAAAACATCTAGACATATTTTTGGTTAATAAATAGATTTGATTAATTAAGTTTAAATTTAAGTACTGCACATCAAACTAATTATGCAGTAATAACAATGCTCTTATTTATATGCCCTGTGCTTCACTGCTTTGCATTGTTTTTCAAATAGATGCCAAAAACAGCTGTATTTTAAAAATAAGTTTTCTTTCCCTTTAACTAAGAGTACTGTATAGATTAATCATCAGAGGTCTGGTTCCTACCCACGAGGATGGCATCCTTTAAAAATGCAGTTAGAAGACTTCAATGCACTTCTCAGCGTTTCTCAAATTCTTTTACATGGTACCTGATAAATTGTATTATTTTGTTTTTAAACTGATTGCAACAAGTGGACCAGAGAAAGCGGTTCAAGTGTTGGTTTTATGTTTTCAATCATTTTCTGATCAAACTGCACAAAACAGATCTCGAATTGGCACTGTGCCTTGAGATGTGGATGACTTTTAACCACTGATCAATAAAGTGAGTGCAACACTAAACAACACGTTTGTTATTGCTTTAATTTTAGTTTAGAGAGAATATCAAAGAGTTCTAATGTCATATCAGTTGAGTTGGTCTCTTAGCTTTTTAAATGTCAGATATAAAAACAAGATACATTTGGTGTGGTCCATATGTGTGTCCATATCCAAAAACAATATATTGACAAAGTGAGCTCAGACTGAAACTGGCTTGCTTTGAGGCAATAGACCAGAATTTCCTTCCTGACCCTTCCATTGCTTGTTCTGTCTGTCCAGCAGTGCATGACGTTTCTGTAATGCTCTGCCCAGCATGTGCCATATTTGACTTGTCTACCCTGCACGTGCTGTATGTTGTACTGACGCAGGTGTGCTTTTAGTATATCAGTGAATGTATATGCTCACTTCATTATAATGATGCATTATCCCAGTTTTTAGCACTAATGTTCACGGCAAGTGCACCTTTTATTTGAATCTCATTGTACAGTTTTATTCAGCATTTGAAGACAAGTACAGTGCTTGGTGTTGAAGTAAAACAATTTCACATAATTCCTGGTGATTTATCAGTTAGGTGAGGAAAAACATATTTAAAAACTGATGAAGTCATGGGAACGTACTAAAAATGTTATTGGTGTTACAGTTGGTAAGTGGCCTTCATCAGTGAGATTGCAATGCATTTTGAGCATGGCATCATCCTTCACTCTTTCTTTGCCTCCTGATGCATCAGAAGACATAATCTTTGCAAAAGGCAGAGAAAGAGACAAAAACAAATCAAGATTTGGAGAGAGATTTAGGTTTGATACCAGTGAGAATAACAGTAGACCAATTACACTCTGCAGTAGTGACCGTTTTGGTGCCCCCTGGTGCACAAAATAAGCATGCATTATGATTACTAGCAGTATTGTTTTTTTTAGTGCATCTTAACTATACTGATTATTTGAGGCTCTACTGGAAAACATGATAATCCTCAGATGGTCAGCTTAGACAAATTGTGCTGCTCCTATTTTACGTCCGTTTACACTCAAGATGACATTCAAAGATGTCCTACATTCAAGATGAGGGACAAAGTTTCATAAAACACACTCACCACTGGAGCCATCACTGTCAATAGCTGTTTCCTGCCAGATATTCCATTGACTTTAAATCTTCAGCAACAGGTGGTATCTTCTGACTATCTCCAGGAGTGTAGAAATCCTCATACTAACCCGTCCCTCAGGACCAGTAGCCAAAACTGGGCCACCTCAGGCTTCAGCTGGGTGGCAAACAAAGCGTGTCAGCAGGCAGGAGCTCACCTGTTCCCGGCCAGCGACAGAGAGGGTGGTCTCTGCTCCAGCGCAGAGATGGACGCAGAGGAATTTGAGCATCCTGAGGAGGTCTGTTTTCCAATTTAGGTATATTAGCAAGTTCAAGTTGTTTATCTTGGTTTCTCTTGATATGGGGATACCCTTTTTAAAAAAATTATTATTATTAATCACCTCCACTACAGGTAGTGTGTCCTGCTGCAGGTTTCCATTTAATCCAGATGTATCACTATACATTATGTCAAGAATCTGTGAAGAGACAAGTTGCTGATGTCTTGTGAAGTGTTTGGCTCCGCCGATGTAGCCAAGGCCTATCTCGCAGACAGACTGTAAAACATTGAATCATTTCTTACCACCAGGATGGCTCAGGCCAGCTGTCAGAGAGCGACGCCTTACCACGTCGCCATCAGAGACGTGAAATCGGAGAGGGCAGGACATTTCACCACCACAGAGCTCTTAATGCGGGGTCTGGTCTGCGTGGAGACCCTGCCTGCAACATAAAGATCTCCTCCATCACAGGGCATCCGAAGTCTTCTTTGGTGACAGAGAAGACCCTTAACCAGGAGCCATTCATCTCCCAAGTGCCATTACTAGTAACCACACGCTGTATCTTTCTTGAATGTCTGCTGGGATGCACTATGTGCTGCAGGAAAAATTGCTAATCAAAACTTTTTTTTGCTACACTCAGGCCTAAATTGCATATAATTTCTAGCTTCGTCTTTGTAATGAAATGATTTCCTCTTAGTTACAGATCAAAGTGTCTGGCCAGAGGGGTAGTTTGGGAATCAGTATTGCTGGTGGGAAGGGCTCTCTGCCTTACAGAGACCATGATGAGGTAAGTGCTAGGTCAGGAGATCCAGGAGGCGTTGCTCAATCTCTAGCTACATATTTGGCTGTCTGAATTTAGATGATGAGAAGCAGCAGCAGCCCTTGACTGATGGTTGTCCTGCACGTTCACATTCAGCTTGAACAAATTACGAAATAGGAGAGAAAAAAAGAAGCTTTGAGCACATTTTTTAAAATAACAACTTTCATTCAGGCTGATATGTTTATTTCTTTTCAGGGCATTTTTATCTCCAGAGTAAATAAAGGGGGTGCATCAGAAAAGGCAGGAATCCATGTTGGAGATAGATTGCTGGAGGTAGGCGGGGAATATTTTTTTTTGTGTTTGTAATTACTGTCTCATAATTTATTATTCACTGTTAAAAGTAGTGTGTGAAATATTGTTGACTGAATGGAAATCACATGTACAGTACTTTATATTGACTCTAACAATGTCATTATAAAGCCCAAGAACTTAGAGCCGGTGTTCCTCTTGTGACCAATGGATGGCGTCATAAGACCAGCAGAGGACAATCTGCTGGGACTTCCTAAATGTTTTAGCTAAATAAGGATGAAAAGGACATAACAGCAGATCAAAATTCAAAATCAGTATTTAGATTTACACCTTGGTAGTTTAAAGCTGATCAGAATAATCCTCACTGGTGCCTGTAGTGTGAATAGACATGCTATTTTCAGAGAACCCATGCTGCTCCTTCACCTCTGACTCCTGCTCCTACTTTCACTGGCCCTAAAAGTATAATGTGACCACGGCCCACCCAGGTCAACGGCCTCGACATGCAGGCTGCGACCCACCATGAGGCGGTCTGCGCCCTCAGGAATGCTGGGAGCTGCATCAAGATGAAAGTACTCAGAGAGAGGCTGTTACCTCCAGAGGTGTGTGACCTGGAGGAGCCTCGGGGTCCTCAGGACGTGACAGGAAGACAGCTGTGCAGCCAGGACAGCGGAAGCCAGAGAAGCAAACAGCCAAACATGGAAAGCGCTGAGGACTGTTTGTCCAAGAAGATTGAGGTGGTTGTCTGCAACGGCAATGGCATTGTGGGTGGTTTGCACAAATCACAGCACACACAGAAATATACTTTCACCATTGTTTTACAACGTGCCTCAAGCCATGTGCGGATTTAAAAAAACAACACTGTCAGTCTTACGCACTTCTTTTCACTTTGTCTTGTTTCAGTCTGATTTGGAGAGGGACCAGAAGAGGACCTTGTCTGAACTGGAGGGAGGGGCCTTGACGGAAAATGAGTCACTTCAAGGGGCGAAACATAGAATGACAGTAAGCAGATTTCTCATCCATCATTAGGATATACCCCCTACTATATTGTTTCGCACTAACATCACCTCATTTTAGCCTTTATAGTAAATAGCAATAATAAAATCCTGCAAAACCAAACATTTGAGGATTATATGACCAGATCTTTCTGAGATTTCAGCATGTGACACATGACAACTTGCTTATTATCCTTTCAATCTTATTTTCTTCTCTGGCAATCATCGGCAGATCCCGCGGATCATCCTCACTCATCCCTCTACCTCAGATGAGGATGTGGAGCTCTTGACACAGAGCACAAGCAGAGAGCCGCTGCATGACTCTGACAGACGTGCACACTGTTTTGACAGTGCTTTCTACCCACCTTGACCACAGCGTAAGGGAACCTACGTGATGGAATCAGACTGTTATTACCCAGCTTTTAGGAGTTTTCAGTGAAGTTACTTTGAAAGATTAGTGTGAAACTGATTTTTTGTCTGTCAGATTAAATTGCTGCTAATAGTGTTTGGAGACATTAAAGTCATTTACAAGAATGGACACTCTCAAGACTTTATTTTTATTACTAAAACTACAGTTCTGCCTTTGCAACTACATTGAACAGAGAAAGCATGAACAGACTACTCTCTAATTTCCAAATGAAACATGTCATAGATTTAAATGCCGTTAATCAAACAATGAATGCTGGCTACCTCTGCTTCACACAACTGTGCTGTAAATTATGGATGTGCTGTTAAATAGCCCCTCCACCAGCCATTAACTTGTTATAGTATGTACAGAAATAAATCACCACATGGCTGAACAGACTACACAACAGGGGGTCCGAGACCTGAGACAGACGGAACTATGCCTCACTGTATAAGCTAAATTCAAAGAGATTATACACTCTCTTTCTGAAAAGACTATAGATGTCAATACCTGCCTTGTATTATTTCACAGCTTTTACATTCCCACAGTAACTACAGTTCAATGTTATGTGTTAATTTTCTCAATAAAGTGCAAATATATTGTTGTAAGAGACTTTTCTTTGAGCTGTAGGACAGACAAATCCAAGCTGGGGTTTATACTGGTGATGTGAACACCTTCGCAGTAGACTGCAAAAACACACCCTTCGATAAATTTTTGTTAACAGTGTGTCAGAAAGGTGTTGGTTTGACAGATATCTTGAGATTGCAATTTGTGTTGGTGGTGTACTGGATTGCACCATGTTGCGCATGTTTTCTTGTTATTGTGTCAACCCCCTGCATGTTTGCTACAGACCACATAAAAACTGACATGACTTGTTTTATCAGTGATGTTGTGCAATGATGACTGTCTGCTGGGTGATAATAATCTGTGGACACAACTTGTTGGACAGTACATTCACTGTGTGAGACTCAATACACAGCCAATTACTGGCAGGTATATGGTCATATTGTGAGACCTGAGTCCTCGTTTGTCTTGAGACGCATTCACATAAAGTCAGTGGGAGGACCTGAAGAGTATGAACATGGATTTGGATGACTCAGTAATAAAACTGGGACTTTGGGAACACTGCTAATGCAACCAGACTGCATGTTTTGTTTTGTGCAAATATGTAGCAGATAATATTTCCATGTAACATACAGGTACATGCATGTGTTCAAATATTTTTCGGTAGCTTACTTCTACAGTAGTACCTGATCATTACTTCCATGGCCAAGGAGCACGACATTAATTAACTAATGAGTTTGTTGATTTACAGGTTACTTAAAAAAGGAGCTCAAAACACATCCACTGAGTTTGGGCTAACACAAGCAGCTCTGGTCTGCTCCTTATTAGATTTGAGGAAGTTTAATGTTACAGTGCAGACAACCTCAGCCACTGTTACCTGAGATAGAGTTACGTTTTGTATTATTAAAACTGAAAACATAATGGAGACAGCATTTTCAGTGATTTCACAGCCTTTACATTCCCACAGTAACTACAGTTCAATTTTATGTGTTAACTTTCTCAAGAAAGTACAAATATATTGTTGCAAGAGACTTTTCTTTTCGTATTTTCAAAACTGAAAACATAATGGAGACAGCATTTTCAATTAACTCAAGGAGAAAATGTTAGGTTAATTGGCAAGCAGATACAATTTGCCAAGGAGGGACAGGTTTCATTTCAGCTGGAAAAATCAATTGTGTCTGGCTACAAATAAGAAGCAGCTTCTGCTTACCTCTGTCTGAAAATAAAAAACATTACTAACCCTAAATGTGCCACGGTTATCATAAACCATGCATGTGTGCAAAGGGAAAGCTTGAGGGTATAGAAAACTGTCAATTAAATACACTAGGGGCCTTAGGATCATTACATTCTCACTTGATCCAGTATGACTAGTAGCTAATGGTGGCTAATGTTAGCAAACTAGATGATGACTTTATGACTGTCAGTTGTCTCATAACTGTCCCTTGCCAATTGCATCTGGGAATTGTTTCAACAGTGGCAAAAATTATGAGAAGAAATGTTGTGTATGGATCAGACATGTTTTTGTTGTGTATGGATCAGACATGTTTTTGTTGTGTATGGATCAGACATGTTTTTGTTGTGTATGGATCAGACATGTTTTTTTCCTTCCCCTTTGTTGTCTCAGTCTCTCTTTTCTTAAATCTAAAATCAATTACTCTACTTCATCTGGTGTTGAATATTACACTATGCACTGGACAAAAAATAAAATATAACAGTATAACAACAGAAAGAAATGCGGATATGAGGTTAACTGATCCAAATCAATAATTCTGTTTGATCGTTATTTGTCTGAGGGCAAGAAGCAATTTGCCACATTTCAGTCACAGGCTTGCCTTCAATTATTTTGTTTTTCTGTGTTTCTTTTAATAATTGACACATATATCATTACATAAAGATAAATGCTGAACATTTGGACTCATTTCAAACCACATTCAAATCAATGCTGGATTCATTACAGTGGATTGCCTTAATTAGAGACAGATATTTCTTTGGAGCACGATCAGAAAAATACTGGCTTCTCAGAGGATAAGAAAAAACATATTGAGTCAATAAAAATAAAATAAAAGTAAAGCTGCAAGCAGCGTTGGGCAGGCCCTAGTGCCGTGATGCGTGTAGGGGCTTGACGCGGCCGTGCCAGAAGCGCCCTCAATTGTCGTGTGTTTTGGACCGGTCACGAAGGACTTAAATGTCACTTCCTATGTCCCCTGGGTGGCGCTAGACAACACCCGGTAATTATACACTCACCTAAAGGATTATTAGGAACACCTGTTCAATTTCTCATTAATGCAATTATCTAATCAACCAATCACATGGCATTTTGGATGTGTAAGATACATCCAAAATGTATCTTACACGCTCTCAATGCATTTAGGGGTGTGGTCCTGGTCAAGACAATCTCCTGAACTCCAAACTGAATGTCAGAATGGGAAAGAAAGGTGATTTAAGCAATTTTGAGCGTGGCATGGTTGTTGGTGCCAGACGGGCCGGTCTGAGTATTTCACAATCTGCTCAGTTACTGGGATTTTCACGTACAACCATTTCTAGGGTTTACAAAGAATGGTGTGAAAAGGGAAAAACATCCAGTATGCGGCAGTCCTATGGGCGAAAATGCCTTGTTGATGCTAGAGGTCAGAGGAGAATGGGCCGACTGATTCAAGCTGATAGAAGAGCAACTTTGACTGAAATAACCACTCGTTACAACCGAGGTATGCAGCAAAGCATTTGTGAAGCCACAACACGCACAGCCTTGAGGCGGATGGGCTACAACAGCAGAAGACCCCACCGGGTACCATTCATCTCCACTACAAATAGGAAAAAGAGGCTACAATTTGCAAGAGCTCACCAAAATTGGACAGTTGAAGACTGGAAAAATGTTGCCTGGTCTGATGAGTCTCGATTTCTGTTGAGACATTCAGATGGTAGAGTCAGAATTTGGCGTAAACAGAATGAGAACATGGATCCATCATGCCTTGTTACCACTGTGCAGGCTGGTGGTGGTGGTGTAATGGTGTGGGGGATGTTTTCTTGGCACACTTCAGGCCCCTTAGTGCCAATTGGGCATCGTTTAAATGCCACGGCCTACCTGAGCATTGTTTCTGACCATGTCCATCCCTTTATGGCCACCTCATACCCATCCTCTGATGGCTACTTCCAGCAGGATAATGCACCATGTCACAAAGCTCAAATCATTTCAAATTGGTTTCTTGAACATGACAATGAGTTCACTGTACTAAAATGGCCCCCACAGTCACCAGATCTCAACCCAATAGAGCATCTTTGGGATGTGGAGGAACGGGAGCTTCGTGCCCTGGATGTGCATCCCACAAATCTCCATCAACTGCAAGATGCTATCCTATCAATATGGGCCAACATTTCTAAAGAATGCTTTCAGCACCTTGTTGAATCAATGCCACGTAGAATTAAGGCAGTTCTGAAGGCGAAAGGGGGTCAAACACAGTATTAGTATGGTGTTCCTAATAATCCTTTAGGTGAGTGTATGTTGTGTAACAGTAGGTGAAGTGTGGACTGCACTGTGAAAATGCCATGTAGCCTAAATCAAAGCATTATTGTCAGAAACAGCTTACTTCCTGTTACCAGTGGGTGGCGCTATCATGTTGAGTGAATGTTTTCATGTAGATGTGTTCAGGATGGGACTGTTATCAACCATGTAAAGTTTGGTCCAGATCTGAGCATGTACACTGAAGTTACAGTAACTTCCTGTTTTATGTCAACTGTTCAAACTCACAGATAGCACAACCTTTCATTGTCAATGCCTTTAGAAGGCACAGCACAAATTTGAAGTCGATCGGATTACTTCTGTGGGACGAGTTTGTTAAAGTAGGGAGCCTGTAAACAGTGAAAAATGGGTTAAAATCGCACTTTCAATTCAAAATGGCTGACTTCCTGTTGAATTTAGGGTATGGGTTCTTGAGGCTTTTTTGTGTGTCTTGATATGATGCATGTGCCCACAAAATTCCCTGCATGTAGGTTGAACGTGGAGCGGGGGCAAATTTTTTCCAATTTTGTAGGTGGCGCTATGGAGCCATTTTGGCTCCACTGTGTTTCAATATGTTTCACTGTTCCCTTGAAAAATGTTGCATTTTAAAATATGTAAATTTAGCTCGGCAAGGACCCTACTATGGTATGGGTGTATAATTGCTACTATGCTATGTAGTGGTTACAAACCGCTCTGCATCATTACTACTGAGATCAAAGCTTTTGCGTCATGGCAGCCCATCTTGAGCCTTATGTGACCAAATTGGTTCACTGTGAAGAGACAGGTTTAATTAGGTCATGATTGGCCACTGATAATATGTGCCAACTTCTGCATATCATACATGCTGCATAAGATGTTATATCTCCAAGCGCTGAATTCAGAAAGAGCATTTGACAGTACTAAATGGGATTATCTGTGGGAAGCAGTGAAACTTGGGTGGGCTCTGGCTCAGGAGGTAGGGCGGTTTGCCTGTTAACCCTGAATTACCGGTGTGTGAATGTTAGTTTTTGTTTGAGCGCTTCAGCTCAGTGTGTGAATGCAGTGTAAAAACGCTTTGAGTGGTTGGAAAGACTAGAAAGGCGCTACACAAATACAGAGCATTTACACTGGGTATCAATTGTGAAAGTTAACTTGTCTGTATATATATTACCACTTCCTCCCCCATCTGATAATTGGAATAGATTTCACAAGTTCATCTATCTTGGTCCAATTATATCATTGCTACTATCGACGTGGCACAACACATCGTTACAGCCTGGCATCTCGATATCTTTATCAAGAATGGTCTGAGGACATTTAACAACATTCGTGTACCTATGACTTACCTGGGTCATCAATTAAGATCATCGCCAAAAGCCTACAGTGATCCGCAGAATAAACCACCGCGTCCTATTTTGAATACACGGTCAAACAAAGGGATTAATATCTATCTAATAACTGTATCTACTGTTGTCTGTATCTATCTCTATCTATTCTGTATGTATAAACCGAACACCTGACCATAACATTTGCAATTGTATAGCTGATACCTCCAAAAATCCTAGTCATCTACAGATCAACCTCAACTTCTTACATCAACTCTATCTCACTCCCAAGAAAAGTTTCTTAATGAAACTATTATGCACTCTGTGCACGGATAGCTCTTGGCTCTTTTATGCACATGTTTTGGACTTGTAAGAATCTAGCTCTCTTTTTGAAAATAGTTTGCTCCTTATTGACAAAGAATTTGGATTGTGAAGTGCAATGCACTACCACTGCGTTGCTCTGAATGACTAGTCTTTGCAAAATATATCACAAAATCCAAAATGTATCTTAACAGAGATTTATTTGGGCGGAGCGGGGTCACCATTAGTTCTGTTTTGTTTATTTAATGGTTTCTACACTATTAATATCATCATTTCAATTTGATCACAAAAGGAAAATTCGAGACGTCTCTGGTGGTGCTTACTAATGAGCTGGCACTAGACTAAATTTTGTGTTTCAGTATCAGAGAATTTCCTCAAAGCTAACAGCTAATAGTAAGTGTCACATGTTACGCGTCAGAAATCAAAGCAAATAGATGTGACTTTCTGCCTTTTCCACAGATACTGGATATTAATGAGGGGAAACGGGATTAAACGATAATCAAGTAATGGCTTAAAGCTATAATTTAGGATTTGTTCCTATCAAACTTACTTAGAATTACACGCTCACAAGCATTCACATTTCGCGTTTCAGATGCTTTTTATCCTGAGTTCCTCTAAATGTATACAAACATTACTCCTACTAGTATATAACACCAGGTGCTGGTTTTGCTGTGTGCTTTGTCTTATTATGATTTTCTCGGCTCCCACAGAGGAACACGGGGAGGGAGACTGCAGGGTGGAAATAGACAAGAACAGCTGTGACAGGAATGAAGAATGTAGTATACTTAAAGGATTAGCATCCACTCCAGAGGTCTGCTTTCACTCACTGATAACGGAGATGTTGATGTAGCGGTAAACAAGCAAGTAATAGAATTTGTTTCAAGCCGCCTCATAATTCATTATTGGAAACATGCTGAGATGCCTCTGTTGTTATCAGTCTGCTGGCAGTTTAGATTATCCGGAGGCTAAATGAACATCTGATATTATTTATAGATATCCAAAAGTATTTTTCTGTATTAGAAAATACATCAACTGTGCTGGATAAAATTCAAAATTATTTTGAAATTCAGATTTTCTGATGCTGCCCTCACATAGAGCACTTTGCTACATGCTCAGCTTTATTCCATTTTCTATTCACTCATTACAACAGCTTCACCATACAATGTGAGTTGCTAACAGACCTTTGCTAAAATAAAAATGCTCTCTTGTATATTTTATTTTAACACAATGAGGTAATTGCCACCGTCCCTGGCAGAGAAAAATAACACACAAATTCTTGACTCTTTTGTTGTTGTTTATTCACCATGGCAACATTTATTTTCTCAAAAGGCTTTTGTGTTCCCTGTCCAGTCAATACAATCATCTCCACCTCTCTCTTATTTTTTTTTTGGAGCTCAGTCTGCCAAGTCTCAGGAAACACAACTTTTGTCATTCATGGAGATGAAGTGAATTTATTTCGGAAACTGTGGAAAAGTTAACTTTTCCAGATACACAGAGCTGTGTTCCCAGCGTGAACATTGTTACTGGTGCCCAGCAGGCTGACTGCTGTCTGCAAGCTATTTGTGGCTATAATGTGTCTATAAAAGGAAATCTGCAGGGCGATACACACACCAACAGCAATACACTTTGAACTCCACGGGACGGGCTGAAAAGTGCGCATCTTGCTTTCCATATCCGCTTTAATCGACATCTGAAGTCTTGAGTGTTTATCCGAATCCTGGACACAATCAACACTTTTGGATGGAGAGGAATTTGAAGCAGAAATGGACAATTTAAATAAGAGTCTGGGGAAGGTAGGAGATAATAGTTTGATAACAGATACCTTCTTCTGAAAATGTGGGTATTTGTTGTAAGGCTGACTATCACTGACCTACCTTTGCTTTCCTCTGACCTTTGTAATTACAATGGTTCAGGGTTTAAATCCTATTTTGAGATCATAGTATTTGATCAAAGCTAATAGTATTTGGAAAACAAGAATTTGGTTTTAATCCATCAACACTACCCCCCCCCCCCCCCCCCGCCCGCCACCACCTCCAGGCTTTCACACATAAACACATATCCACAGTATATACTCAGACGCAGCTACTTGATACTTATCTCCTGTTATTTCCTGTCACTGTAGGATGAATAACAGTTACCAAACAGCTTCCAGATGAATTTCAAAATGTATATGTTAATGTATATATTTTATGTTATGTTTTATGTTGTTTTCCTTGTGTCTGAGACTTGGCATCATAACATTTGTTTATAATCTGGAGCGATGTGCCCAGTAGCAGCTGGCAGTGGGCTATATTTGTACACCCTATCTACTCTGGAGGGAGGGGTTGTGTGTTTGCCTGTAATTAAACTTTTTACTCAGTGATACGCCCAACTGTTTATGCTTTTACTGTGGCACAATGCAACCTATACTCAGATATACATTTAAACATCTATGGAGCTGAAAAGTTTCAGATTTACAGCAGTAATTGTGCTCTTATTCTGCGAAGGAATAGCTCAAATGAGCATCATCTGTGGAAAACACAGATGCGTGAGTACGTGAAAAATTAGTGTATAACTTTTGGAAAGTCTCAAAAGGGCTGCTTAAAGTTGAACTTGTGTTTTATATAAGCTGCTTCTACAAAAGAAGCATTAATAAACCCATATAAAGCCACAAGATGAGCAATATGTTTTTTTTGGAATGCATAACAATGGACGTATAACACAACCTATATCACAAGGAATAATGTCTATTGCATTCATTCAGTATATGTTTCCTTAAAATGTATTTGTCACTTGTCTGTTTGGTCACTGTTCATGAGTGTCCCTTTAAAAAACCCCACGGAGGGTGGTCTGCTTCAGAAAATGATTTAGCACTGCTTGTATTCAGTCTTTGGGACTGGTCTGACATACCACAAGAAATAACTGAGTGAGAGCATGCACACAGCGAGGCGACATGTAGCACAGTGAACCAGTGGTGGTTGGAAACGTGATCTATGAGGACAGCGTGACCCTGGCAACACTCAGGCGCAATGAAACATTCAAGGAGGCTCCAATGTGCAAGTAGGAAATGAAAATCACTTTAACCTTTCACAGTATAAACTTACTCTGCTGTGACTACAGAGGACACGCAAACAAGGAGGTTACATAATGAGTATAGGTCGCATTGTGCCACAGTGCCACAGCATAAACAAGTTTATAAGATGGCACATGTTTATTTTAGTCAAGGTATTTGTTCTGTTCCTTTATTTATAGCTTGATTTCAGATACGCTGGTATCTCCAATATAAATATCTTGGTCCTCAAAATGACAAGTGAACCTCTTCAGGCTCAGGAACTAGGTATATTGGCGCAAAGAGCATGGGTGGCACAGGTTTAAGGAAAGTGGTAAAGGAAGTACTCAGATGCTTGACTTAAGTAATACCACAATGTAAAAATACTCCATTACAAGTAATGGTCCTGTATTAAAAATGTTAATGGTCAATGTACTGAACATATTATTAAAAGTAAAACTGTTCATTATACAGGCAGAGTGGCCCATGTCAGAAAGGTCATAGAAATAAGTCTAGAAATGCTAAAGAATGTAAACTGTAGAGAAGTCAAAACACCTTGACATTATGATTTTGAGGCAAGGTAACATCTGGTGCTGCAGTTATTTGAATGCCTGACTGGATGCGACTTCTCTAGTTTGTATTGCCAGTTCTTAAACACGTGGACATCAGAGGCCTTTATTTGTTGTGACTGACCTTCCTATTGACTCTTATGTTCACGTTGATTGCCGTCTAAAGTGACAAAAACATCTCTCCTATACTAGAAGGCCTTTCTTTGTTGTGACTGACCTCCCTATTGACTCTTATGTTCATGTTGATTGCCGTCTAAAGTGACAAAAACATCTCTCCTATCCTAGGAGGCCTTTCTTTGCTATGAATGACCTTCCTATGGACTCTCATGTTCATGCTGATTGCCCTGTGAATAGACTATGAACACTTAAACTACTGAATATACATCAGTCAGATGAATCCTGGCTTTAAAAGATGTGCTGAAACCTTGATCTGTAGAATTTAAAATTAAAATGGTGAGTGTATGGCTTTCTAGATTTGCTTTTTATATCAATCTCACTAGAATGTGCTTATTTCTTTAGTGATTTAGCAGATAAGACCTAAACATCATTTCACAAGTATTACGCATTTATAAATCATATCCTGCAGATCTGTAGCTGCTTCATACACTATATCTGGACACATTAACATGCCTCTTTAAAATGTAGTTTGAAACCATTCAGAAACTTGCCTTTATGTGTGAGAGCAGCAGTGCTTCCAACAGACAAAACCATCCTCCAATATTTAAAATATAATGTAGCGCTCGTGGGTGGTCCCAGTCTATGAAATACTGCTTTGACTAATTCCGAGAAAGAGAACAATAGACATAAAATCAGACTCAAAAGATGTCAGTAGAAATGGATGTCCTGCTGGCAGTTTTTTTGAAAAGCTTGTTCTTGAAGAACAAAATAAATACATTTAATTCCATCCAACCAGGAGGCTGCACAGACCACTACGTAGAAAATTGTAATTGTAATTGTAAAATTGTTTTTTTTCCTCAGATGAACTATCGTATTTCGGTAGATACCAATGTAACTTGGCACATTTTTGAAACGGAAGTTGTCTTCAAGTGCAGTCGAGCAATTCTTGGAAACCAGCATGTGATGCACAAAGAAAGAAATGATCAAACACTGCTCCGAAAACGGTCCCAGCAGGAGTCACAGTGTGTTGTTCAAATAATGAACGCAACTTTACATTTTAAAACGGAGTTCTGAGAAATCCTGCTTTGTGAACGTCTTGGTAATCGTTTTTGTTTTTCCGCTTCCTTTGATCACCTTCCCATATTTAACCTGCCACACATTATTATCTGAACCGGGCCGGTTGGTTGAACTTGAGTCTGCAGTGAAATTGTGAGATGAAAGATGAAACAACCTAATATGCTAATTCACTGACTGTGTCTATGGATTATGTGTAATCCAAGTATCTGCTAAAATAGCCTCCACTGATTAGTGAAGGAAGTTTAACTGCCCTCCAGTTTGCATTTTACAGATGACCCAACATCTCTGTGGAGAGAAGATGTGTGATTAGTAAACAGCTGAAGTACTTTTCAAGAGTGTGTGCTTTGATTGCTTTGGTGGGAATAAATAGGAAATGTTTTCACACATCCACACTATGAAATGCCATTGGTTTATGCTGTCTTTCACATATGAGAGCTTTTATCCACCACAATTTGCAGTTCCACCTCTTCATACATTTTCAGCATGGGTCGCCCCTGGTGAAAATCAACCCATTAAAGCTGATAGTGTGAGTGCTGTGGTGCAGACAATACAGAGGTTTCACAGTATGGACCTGCTTGTACCAGAGGTTATGATGTCAACACCAAAAGAGGTTTGACACAAGCCCCTTTTCAGTTTCACGTAAGACACCGCATATCTGTTTGGCAAGGAGGACACTAATCTTGGATAACATGTTTCGTGAGACCTGTTTGGATTTTTAAAATGTCATGGGCCAAATCCAGGGTGCTAAAAGCTAGTCATCAATTTGGCAGTAAGGAGTTGCTTCAGGTTAAGCAGAAAGATGGGTTAAAAAACATAACGCTACTAGCAATGCCTTGTCACCTGCAAGCAGAGCCTTCACTGTAAAGTATGGTGGTCAAAATTGGTGCAAATATAACAAAAGCCAGTCATGAAGCAAGATGCTACAGTAAATAGGCTGTGATTCTACATTCATTGCAGAAACCAGATGCAAACAGTAGGATTGTAGCAAAAATCAATGCACAATCAATTTTGTACAATGCCTAAAGAAAATAGTTCAACATTTTGGGAACTGCGTTTATTTGCTTTCTTGCCGAGGGATATGAGATTATGCCTCTCTCATCTTTGTCTGCTTCCTCCTGTTTCCAATCTTTATACTAAGTTTAACTAAATGGCTGCTGGCTGTAACTTTCATGTGTGTAACCATATACAAGCGAGAGTGATATCTCTATCTGGAGCTCTCGGCAAGAAAGCGAGTAAGCGTATTTCCCCAAATGTACTTTAACAAGGCAACAAAACATACTATATGTTGGATGTTTACCTTAATACATGTCCTGCTTTATCGCTGCTGTGTTGCCTCTGTAAACAGACCAGTGCTTTGCTAACATAGTACCCACAGCATTAGTATCTGTTCTGTATGCACAAACAGTGTAAGTTGTGACAAGTGCAAAGTTGCTTATTAATGACAAAGGAGGTCTCTGTGTCCTCCAGCTTGGATTCCAGGAGTGGCTTTGCTGAATCTGCTGGGCCAGTTTGTGACCCAATACTGAGTCCACTGCCTCAGTCCACTTTGTTATTTTGTGTTTTCCTCAGCTGTTTGTGTTGTGGTCATTGATTTTCCGAAAATCCCGTTTGATTTTCTTAAAATATTTCCAAATCATTTAGCTGTGTCATGAGTCCAGAGTTCAACCTGACGCGGCAAAACACCCTCTCTTGCTGTGGTTGGCCCAGCCAGTCTCCACTGTTCTTCCTTTTTAAAAGTTTTGGTTCTCCTGGATCGATGCAGACACAGTAGTGAAATGGTGGTTACTGCTGTACTCTTGTGCTTGTTTTAGTGGTCCATTATTATGATGTGACAACATGCGACAGCATAGCCAGAAACATTGCATTTAGTATCACCTCCTACGCAGTGCTCCCAAATCAGGCAGAGAACAGTGGGAACTGAAGTACACCCTGTGACAATGGCTACATGTTAAGTTGTGGGTTGTTAAATTCCCACAGTGGAAAAGACCCACAGATTTCAAAGCTGTACAAGTTTTAGTCATCATGTCATTATTTTAACACGAAGGAGCATCTTTGCCTTATGGAGACGAGAGCATGAGCCAATTTAATTGCAACTCATTACTCCTCATTGAGTGTGTGTGTGTCAAGGCTTTGAGCTGCAGGGTGCTAAACTGCATAATCTGTGTACACATGTGATGATGGCTCATTAGTGGCGGGGTATAGTTACACAACCCTGTGAAGCAGAAAGAAATAAAACATTCTGAACTCTGAAAATCAGTGGTATTCAGCTGCGAGACGAAGACATGCTGAGAGTGACTGAAACATAGATTTTATGGATAGGCTGACTTGATCCTTTAAATTAACTTTGGGAAGAAGTCCCGATATGCTTGACTCATCATTTACTGTAAGCATTTGTGCTTGACAGGGAAATTACTGGGAAAGTTTTATCAAGAGCTAGTAACATGTCGACAAATTATTCCTCTCGTCTCTGTTTTACAGGTTTCAATAGGAGTGCTGTCTAAGCCTTCTAGTTTCACCTTTGTGCCAGTGGTGCGGAAATTACCAATTGAAAGCATTATTACTGAGAAGGACAGATCTGGAGCTCTGACAGGAAAACCAAAGAAGGTACAGGAGCATCAGAAGATTGAAAAGTGACATTATCACCAACTATCTGTAACATGATTAATGCTTTTACTACAAGGCATTATCAAAAAACATGTCCTGACTTATTCATGTTAATTTAGCTAATTGACTTTTCTGTGTTTTGCCACCTGGTCTCTGTGTTTGCTTTACTTTACATCACTCTCTGTCTCTGACTCCTCACTAATCAAAACTTCCTCAAGTTCATCACAAACGTTGTTGGCAATGTCGTTTTTGAGCCTGCAGCCTCGTGTTACTTAATGTTAAAGATTACCAGTTAAATTGCACCCAGAATGTCCCTGTTTAAGAACAACAGTGTATAAACATGACAGCTTTCTTCTTATACCATACATGATGTGACAGGTCTTCCTTTCTGTTCCACACTCTCCATTTATTCTCAAAATGACATTATTCAGACTAAGTAGCCTTGACTCATATTAATTTTTATTTATTCATTTAATAATAATTAAAACAGTAGAGACAAAATATCGTGAACAATCTGCATGTGAGTGTGCAGAAACTCTTAATAAGGATTATAGACAACATGATGAGCATGAAGAGGTCCATGAGCCAGAAAATCTGATTCTGCAACCTTAAGGCCTTTTTGAATGAGTCCATTTTCTAGTGATTGATCATGTCAGTGATTTAAGGATTAAATTACACACCTCTGCTTCCGGGGAAGACTCACTCTCACTCACCAGCTGCAATTACATCTACAACTCATCTTATCACAAAATACGTAAAAACGCAAATGCGAAATGTTAAATATCTTGTTATATATTTCGTCATATATGGTTTCCACAGAAGTTTTTACACTGTAATGGGAATAAAAAATCATTGATTGATATGTGATGTGACATCATCCACTTATTTGATGTATTCCAGGAGCCTGATTCACACAGCGCACATCAATATCAACTATGTATATTCTTGAACAACACCAACGACACTAAAGATTTACTTTTTCTTTCATGTAAGAGATTTTTTTAGCACACAAGCTACAAATGTTTACCCAGCACCAACATCACAGCAACACCACCGCTCTGGGTGCCTCGGGACAGCCGACTGCTGCCTGAAGTCAGCTCACTGGCTGCCTGTATGATACTTCAAAGGTTCTCTCACTAGGGGGTGGGGGTTGGCACCATAAGTTTCTCAACTTCCCCCACTGCTATTACCTAAAGGAGTCGCGGCCCGTCATGTTATTAACCATCATATGACTATTTAGCAGAAAACCTCTGAGTAGCCCTGTGTTTTAGCTTGCATGAGGTATTATCATTCGTAGCCTATATACACAATATTAGATGGTGTGTCATGTGCTCTATAAGTAGCAGAGGGGGAAGAAGTACTTAGATCCTCTACTTATGTTAACGTAGCAATCCCACCATTTAAATCCTGCATCCTGCATTCAAACGTGTGCAGAATGGTCCCTTATATCACTATTTTATGGTGTTGTGTTGGTTGAGCTGGAGCCACATTTATCTACTTTATATAGCAACTGGGATTTTCAACCAAAAAATGCAACAATAGTATTTCCAAAACTATTCCTTTAACACACTATTTATCTTTAAACCATCTTACACAACATCCAGAATCCTTTGCCTTATCTGAAAATGCATTCAGTGTGGTCAGATTTGAGAAATTTCTGTTAGTTTGTGCTGGTTTGAAAGCTGCCAGACACTGACGTATGTTGGTAAAGTCTCTTCATGATTACAGAAGTACAAATTTTTATAGTAAATCACATTATTGTACATGTAGTACTTATGTGTTTACGTAATGTGCAAGGGTGGCCATACCATGCTAACAGAGCATGTTCACCTGAGGAGTCTGTTTTCAGAGTCAAACTAGGTGAGAACACGTCTATTTGTGAGCATCAGACACTTCCAACACTGCACATAATCTGTGTTTGTGTGTCTTATCTCACTTCTTGCAGTTGGACTACACAGTAACCTTTTTCTCCTCTCATGCACTCACGTGGAGCAGACTTGTGGCACAAGGTCAATTTTTTTCCTTTCTCACACAGTTTCTTGTTCTGCACACACACTCATATGTTTATCGGGAAACCGTAAAAAATAGGCTTAGTAATCCCAAAATATAGTTAACAGCCCTTTGCAGCTTAGAGTGAGTGACATCTTGTCATACTTTCACATGACAGATACTTCCTGTGGTGAAACAGCTTCTACATTGAGATATCAGTGTGAAGAATTAAGGGATTACCTGTGAGACAGTCGACAGCTCATTAATCCAACACTGATTTAGAGAAGCCTGCACTTCTCAACATGTCCTAATCAAAAGAAAGGAATTGCATATGTGCCCTTTGGTACTTCATATTATTAAGTGAGACCTCAGTGCTCATTATCAGTTTGAATTGAGTGGCCACCATTCATTTGAAATATGAGGTTGCTACTACAACACAATACTCTGAGCATCCGCACCTAATTATCTCTTTAAATGTAACCAGAATAAATTAAGTAAAATGTGTTTATCTTAATTCGTCAAGAACTACCGTGCACCAAATGTGAAGTGAAAATATTGAATTCCTATATAATTCCTAAACATCTATAACTGTTCACTTTTGCATGCTCTGACTACAATTTTAAACCAACAGATTTAAATTGTATGTGTTATGTGTTGTCTGAGTCATGATGGTATCATGATACAGTACATTCAGTCCTAAGACATGTCAGTTGGTTTACGCTTGAAAAACTCCCAGTGACTCACTCTGCATTTAATTTCAGTTCTAAATATAACTGCTTTTGACACACAGTAAGTGATGATATTATTGACGTAAGCTGCCATTTATGTTAAATACAGTCCCAGGAATAAGTGTCATTCTGGCAGCCTTTAATTTGTTTGATTACTGCTTATCTACAGTAAGATGAAAGAACAGTGAGGGAATTATTTTATCGATTCAGAACACTGAAGATTGTCATTACCATCAATGTGGGAGTTCATGTCATGTGACATGTCAAGCAGTCACCCTTTTTTAGCTCCACACACATATTATCCTAGAATATTCTTTTAACTCGAGTCCTTGCATATTTTCATATTTGAATCATGTCCTATAGAATATACAGTAATTGTCTGCATTCGTGTTTTGGTCAATTAATATGCAGCCACACCAGTTTCCATAAGTTTCGGTTCAAATGTTATTTTTCTATTTATTATTAAGTTATTTATCTGGGAAGCATAGCCAATAAAGTCTGTTCTCACCAGGGAAATTGTACACCAAGTGTAGAGAAAGTAAATTATGTTGCTGCAAAATCCATGTAACCAAATGCTACTCTAGTATGTGATGTAATTTACACACTAGTTAAGTATAAAGCTAGAGCCAGCAGGCAACTAACTTTGACCCTATTTCCCCACGTTTTTGTGTATAATTGGGATAACATTCTTTAAAATTGGTCCAGTATTGAGCAGCGAGACAGGGCTGCAACGTAATCCTTGCAGGCACTTTCGAACCCTCAATGTACGTCCTTTGCCACTGACAGGCTCAGATTGTTACTGTAAGTGTCTAGCTGTTTCCAGTCTTTATGCTAGCTAGGCTAACCAGCTGATTGCTGTAGCTTTGTATTTAAAGCTGGGGTAGGCAATTTATTTCAGAAGAATTTTTCACATCCCGACAGCAATCAATAAATCAAATACTCTGACACAAAAACAAAAAAAATCCGTTATCTGTGGCTGTCGCTGGACAGTAATTAGCACAGCCAAGCATTTCATTCTGGCCGACCTGCCTGTCTACCGGCCTGTCTACCTGTATGCACTCTGTCCATGCACTCACTGCGCATGAAAATTGCTACCTTTTGCAGTACTTCCACTTCACTACATTTCACAGCATTTTGAGCACCTTTTACCTTGCAGAAAAAAATGCTTTTCAGCTTTAATCCATTTTCTTTTATTGGTTTTAAGACACATAAAATCCTCAAATCTACACTTGTATTTGATTGACTTTAATGAATTTGGGACCTGGAGAAGCTAGGGTTAAATGTGTATTGCTCAGCCAGGAAGGCCCCACAAACAAAAACACAGCATAGCTGAAAGTTGTTTTAGCCTCTTAGCAGTGATTAGAACCCTTTTATGGGAGAGGTTTAGGTACATGGTTGGCTGAAGTGTCTTAGTTTGACACATGACACCTGTGTTTGCATGCTGTCTCGTGCCAAAAGTCAGTGTTGGTTTTCACTAACTTTCCCAATCGTCAAAGAAGCACTTTTGGTTGCCTAAATGTAACTTTAATTTGGATGACATGCTAACTAGCAAGATTTAACTCCTGTTAATTAGAATTTCAGAATGCTGGCAACTTCTATTGGTGACTGAAAAAAGACACTGTGCTAGACAGTAACACTTGGCGATATAAATACTTGTGTATTTATACAAAACAAAAATACAACTAGATAAATGTAGCAACAATGGCTTACTACCGTTTGGACTCATTGCTAAACAAACTAATTTGAGAAAACGTCTTGCTTATTTACTTTGTGTCATTTCTGACACTTCAACCTTTAAAGCTGTTTGTGTGTACACAGGCTTCCCCTAAGTAGTTCAGTTCTGCACATGAGTCATGTACTACACCAATGTTAGCAGGACATGTGCGTGTACATGTGAATTATATGTGTGGGGCATGTGGTGTGGTGAAACCAAGCACACCCCTGAGCACAGAGAGGCTCGCTGAAGTTCACCTCGGGTTTTCTCAGGTTTCACTTGCTCAGTTCCTCCTAAATATTTGCTTCATTTTCTCCTGTCAGAACGTAGCTGTGCTCCATGAGGAGATAGCCGAGGAGACCATGTCGGACAGGGAGATTTTCAAAGCAGAGAAAGTCATTATCAAAGACTCTGTGGAGGGAGAAGCAGGAAACGTAATCCAACCAGAGACACAACATCAAGTAAGTACAACACGAGCGATCTTAATGTCATGTGGAAACTGTGACAAATAGATTTGACATATTATAATATACATATGTGTGTGCGTGTGTAATACTGTATATCTGGGTATATATGCAGTGCAAATACACACTTACATACATGTTGACATAATGAATAATAAAGCATTGTGAGTTAAAGAGTGAAGTGAGTTTAAAAATGATTTTACTGTCCAAGGTGGACATTTATTACCTTTCAAATCGGACAGTTTAATTAGAATATTTCATTCATATGGTCTGCTATATAACTGGTCTATTTAGTTTGCAGTGTCAGATAGTGGCTTTATCAAAGTACTTTCTTCTTCTCTGCACAAATTAGATGCTTCTGACAGAACCTTGTTACAAACTTTAATTTGCCGTTCCAACTTTTTGGTCACTCTGACTTTCAAGAATTTGAAGGGAAAGTCAATCACAGTTTAGTAGCCACTAACTGAAAACTGTTTTGTTTTTCAGTTGAAGTCTTCTTCTGATCACGTGAGCCTCTCTCAAACCCAAGCCTCTCCTTCAGTCAGTGCTCAGTCTGAAAATATGCCCAACCACGTAGCTGCCGGGAAAACCTCTATGGAAACAGCTGTTGATAAACACAGGGGCATTTCCCAGCGACAGTGTCATGGTACCTCTGGACTTGGTGAGGTTAGCTCGGGTTTCTTTACAAATAGGGCGTCTGTATCAGAAGACAGAAAGAGCTCCACAAGCTCCACAGATCTGTTCCCCACCCCAGCTTCATCCAGAGAGTCCATTCTCTCAGACGGCTCAGACAAAGAGAAGTACTGGTCAGCTGTGCAGCTCTCCTCTGTGACCTCTCCTGCCTCTTTCAGCCGCACTGTTTCTCCCTGCTCATCTGTCCTCTCTGGCATCTTCTCCCCTACTGTCGTCCAGATAAAGAGGCATATTCTCGCTCCTGGCTCTAGTCTGGTTCAGACCCCTCAAGCCTGTTTCTCATCATGCGAGAGCCTGTCCTCCTCTGTCTGTCCCCAGTCCCCCCCTCCCCGGCACCGGCCTCCCCTCACCCGACTGTCTCTCCTCACTGCTATCCTCAGAAAAGGCCGTCTTCCTGTTCTTTCCTCTGCGCTGCAGAGGCCTTACACCCCCTGCTGGCCTGTCAACCCCGTGACCCTGTCCTTCTGTAACGCGTGCTCAGCAGCCTCCAGCGTTGCCTCCATTCCCCTGGAGTTTTCCTCTCGGTTCTCCTCATCAGCGTCTATAGGTAGTCAGCGCCACGTTCACAGGGAGCCTAATAGATGCATCACTGCTCCACCACCTATTCAGTCAAATGAGCTCAGCGGAGCATGCACTCAAACTCAAACTCAAGAGAAAAGATGCTCAGAGCAAATTTGTTCGAGCAGTGCGCCTAGATGGGAGCAGGTTATTTCACCACCACCTGGGAGGAGCAGCACACTACCCCGAGCACCACTGCCTCTGTTTTGCTCAAACTTCAAATCTGTTTCTCCACTAAAGCATCAAGAAATAGACTATGGGACTTCCAAAAAACTGCAACGCACACACCCCTCCATTTCTAAGCCCCCTGAGCTGAAGCCCAGCAACACTCACATGTACCTCAAGAGCCACGAGGATAATAAACTCATCTCCCCGTCCCCTAAACTTATTAATGAGCAAGAGACCTCTGCGCCCCAGAATTTGAGTCGCCTGCCAAATTCATCCCTCTCAAGGCTTCACTGGCTTTCTCAACAGCTGAGATCTGCGCCTGTCAGCCCTCCTCGGCTTCAGCCTTCTCAGTCACGCTCACCCGGTGTCACACACGCACACATCGCATCACCTCTCCCTCCTTTACAAAACAGCACGGGAAGATGTGAGTCAGAGAGTAGTTGCCCTGATTCCCAAAGTGCCACATCATCTGAAGGTTATCACAGAGCTTACTGCCTGTCTCCTTCCCGCTACACACACATGGTTTCCCCCGGGTGGCCGTCACCCACCAGCTCCCCCACGCCTACGCCCTCTCCTGCTCCACCAATCAGAGACCTCACCCCTTCCCCTTCTCGCTCCCTGTGCTCCACGCCCTCCCCAAGGCCGGGGAGTGGAATATCAGACTGCAGCGACAGGGAGGGTAAAAAAAGAAAGGTAGCCTCTCTGCTTGCCATGCATGACTTCTTTAAACTGGGGGTATTATTTAATATGTTCCCTGTGACTTGCTGTTCTCCCACGCTATGTAGTTAAAAACAAATTTCCCTAACTTGATAGCTAGATATCAAGTGTGGAGCTGCTTTTAGATTTCTATTTGTCTTTGCCATATCATCTTATTGATGTTTTTAAGGTCTTTACTTTTCCAGAGATTTGCACATTGCTAGATTTGCATGATTGACATACCTGAAACGTCACATGTCAAATCCAGAGGGAACCCATCATCGTTAGATCAATGCAGAAACTGATTTCTAGGCCATATGGCTTGAAGTTAAGTAACACCACACTAATAAAATATGATTAAATAATTTAAATATAAGTTGATGTGGGACACAGTCATCTAGTTGTCAGTGTGGAAAATACTTTTTGGGGTTCTTTTTATAGTCAGTCAAATGAACCATATGAGCAGCAACAAGGCGATGCTGCGAAAGCAGGCGAACACACTTAATTACTGTTCTTGCCCTCGGGGGTCTTAAGTGTGGCTGTTTTGCATGATTGCCTGCAGCAGTGAGTGATAAAGCATGTCTAAAGAAATGTAAAACACATATGATGAATTTCCACGAGACATTCCACAAAGTGCAGAAATTTGAATTGTAAATTCACTTACCTTCACTGTCTGCTTTTCTCTCTCGCTCTCTCTCTATAACTCTAGACACACAAGATTAAGTTAAGCTACAAATCGCTTGCTGCAATTCCCACAAACACCCTTCTGTTGGATCAGCAGGTGAGTTAATTTATATGACTCTAATCCTACTAATTAATGTTGTTATCCTGGTAAATATCCAGCCATATGGTGGAGCCGGTGTTGTGCAAGTTCACACTTCACAAGAGCTGGCTTCAGCAGTACCTGTAGTTGTGTCTGAATTGCCACTTGCGCAAACCATGCTCAGTGACAGCATGCTTGTTGCCGTAAACTCTCACGGGACTTGGCAACGCTTGTGTTCATTAGTTGCTAACGGATATGTGCAGTTCAGTGAACGAATGGGAATAAACTCATAAGCTATACATTTGAAATAAAAAAAAGAAGGTCAAACCAGGCTCCAAGAGACAGAAAGACATGGCACTGCAGTGTGACACAGCTGCAGAGGAGGGAGAGTTGTCTGTGAAGAATACAGTGGATGAATATCAATTGTCTGGAGGACGTTGTTATGTTGTCTAAGACTACTGTATAATCACTCAAAGAAAGCAGCAGTCTTCGCACGGAGCTCCATGTGTTCACTCTGCTTTGCATTCACAGACCATAGATGAGCAGGTAGAGAGAGACGAGAATCCGTGTGACAGGTTGGACAGAGATGTTGACACCCACACTGAGGTATTCCTGCACACAGCACTGCTGCTTTTCTCGGCACACTTCACATGACAGACCGGTAACATCAATCATTTGTTACTTTCTGCAGATGTGCTCACCGGCTCAGCTGCGGCAACAGTCAGAGGAACTTTATGCAGTTATTGATGAGCTATTGGCAAATTCTATTCCAGCAGTGAGTTCGCTTAATTATATCATATAAAATTAAACACATGCAAATATTGTAAGTGATTTAATGTGTTTATTTTTACAACCTTTAAGTGCAAAACATCACGGTCGCTGCAGCCCTCCAGGTCATCGACTCCCAACGATGGTGCGCAGGTGAAGTGTGTTTCTTATTAGTCAGGATAGACTTAATTTGAGTGAATGATATGAATGAATATGAATATGAGAAATGTGAATCCCATCGTGATTATGTGATATTAAAGGGGGCGGTGAAGCTATAGTTGTATAGAAAACAATGGAGTCTAGAGACAAAATGCTGAAGATCTGTATGTGATGAGTACTTCTGCTGAGTACACAACAAAAATACAATCTCACATAAAAAATATCACAGGACAGATGAAAAAGTAAATATGGCTACAATAAACAATGTAATAAAACTTTGTTAGTTTAGAAACGGACTTAAAGATAAAATAAATTGTTTTGGGTAAAAATATAGAACATATAATTATTTTTTCATCTGCATGGTGTTGAGAGAAGTTCGATGTGACAGTAAGACTGACACATTTATTGTTGCTGGACTTCATGCCTCACAATGTAGAAAATGTCAGAGCTCTCACACACAAGTTCAGGCGTCATCTTGATTCTACTTAAGTCTGTAATTTCATTAAATTATTTTCAGTAAATAACAAATGAGCAAAAAATGTTATCTGTTCACTCAAGGACTGTTTCTTGCAACAAACCGTTTATACAACAATGTGAGCATCAGAACAGTTCTTTGCTTAATTAAAATTAATTAAAATGAAAATTAATTGAATTAAAAAAACATTCTCAAAAGTGAGATAAAATAGAAAACTGGAAATGCAAAACCGCAGTAACCTTTAAGCTCTGTACTTTGTACTGAAACACAAACTGGAAGTAAGATAAAAGGGAATTCTGACTGTTTAATAATCAACACAGGGGGAAAGATTATTCATCAAAGGACCCAGGGTTTCCAGAGGAAGCATGTGTGTGCAAAGAGGACTAAGTTCACACTGTCATCCCAAGTCTGTGGTGTGAATTTAGATGCTTGTCCAAGATCAAGAGTAGCGTGATAACAATTACAGGTGAGGAAAAGGGGGCACAAATGCTGCACGAGGAAAGAAAACGTAACTCCACAACATAATAAATAAAAATGCAGTTTCTTATTATCTTGCTTTTTAACATAACAAAACACACAAAAAAGTGTCCAAAGTTCAGACATATTCAGCAAGTCCATGAATTGTGTCCACCAAGGATTTCTTTTCATCTTCTTCCTTTCTGTCATTTCTTAAAGCGTTACATATTTGAAATGCTGTATGAGTCATTTTCAGATGAATGCTTTCCATTTTCCCACCAGATGAGGTTTGTCTCTCTGTTGTAACTCTGTTGTTTTGTTTCAGTTCATTCTTTTGCTTCTTTTTCACTTTCAGCAAAACAACTCATCACTTCCAAAATCCTTGGGGCGTGAAACCAAATATGTGAGTACGTCGGGCAGTTTCGTCTGTTGAATTAAAGGCATTACGCAGGATTTTATCCCCACAGGAACAAAGGGAAGGGACAACCCTCCACTGACAACATGTTTATAGTAACCTTCAGACAAATTCACAAAACTGACAAGCCAACATTTTATCATTTGTAAACACTTGCGCTTGCATTGCGTTTTTATTGTGTGTTACAGAGACCCCTGAAAGTTTTGAAAGGAATATTTAATGCTTGCCGGCACAAACAAAGATTTGCTTTTTGAAGGGTTTCATAGGGCAAATATATATTTGTCTCACTTTTCATACACACATTTATTTGGATTACAAATTTTGTTATTATCATACTTTTATGTTAACATAAAACCTGCTGTGCGTTAAGTGCTTTTCTTTTATCTGTATAACAGTTTTGTGAAAGACACTAATAAATATGTTTCCTTCCAAATGGTTTATTTAGGCATCTTTAAGCAGCTTGCACCCATCTACTGGCATGAAAAGAAACCTTATCAGCCCCAAAAAGGTAAACATTCAATTATTTAATCAAGTTTAGGCTCCTGTTGCAACTGTTACACTGGTAATGTAATGTGTTTTGGAAAGCTACTTTTAGACTTAATTCCTCTCTGCTGCCAAACTCTGAACCCTTCTGTCCAGACGAAGCCTGGGGTTATTCGCCCAATGACGGCCATTCCAAGACTGACAGTGGAGGAGGACAAATTTCATCCAAACCCCTTCAGGCTGTTTGCTGTCAAGCAGACCTTAACTGACAACAAAAAGGTATGCAGATGGCATTGGTTCACACTATAGTGTAGGAATCTGTGTCTGTTAATGTTTTCAAACCCACATAGCAGATTTATTTTAATTTTGAGTGATACTAAGATACCCAAGTCTGTGGTTTTTGTATCACGCACACTCATGGGCTTAAAGTGTGGCTGTTAAAAGAGAAGTGTCTCATGAGTTTCATGACAGGCACAGTGGACTCCAAATTTGACAAGTTTTCAAGGAAGAAAAAGAGTTTGAAATGACTAAAGAAACAACTCTATGATCCACTTTTGTGCTGTCCATCAGGTCTCAAACATGTCTAGATTTGTGTAAATATTGTATGTTTACTTTTCATCAAATGTAAGTGTGCAACAGACTTGTTTGTAGCTGGTGTGAACAGCACAAGCAGCTGTTGGTTTTAAAAGAGCAGTTATTTTAGTAACAATCACAAAATCTACAATTTCTATTATATCACTTTGACACTTAACATTAACATGAAAGAGGAAAACCAATCAGAAAAACAATACACATTTTGTTTATTTAACCTTTATTTATTAAGAGAGCTTCACTTAGAGAACTTCTCATTTGCATCAGGGACGGAGCCAGACGGTGTAAACATTTGGGGTTTAGCCCAAACCTAGGGGGGTCCGAGGGCATGCACCCCCGGGGAGATTTTTTCCATTAAGCATCTCAAGATTCCATTTGATTACGCTGCAGTGGGCTGTGATGCAATTATAAAATGATTATCGAATCTTCGAATAATCTTTTTTCTATGTGATTTCTGGATAAAACCCACATTAAAACCCAAAACAAAACATTTCCTCATTAGCTTAAAAGGACTAGGTTGCATCCCTTATTTACTTTACGAATTTCAGCTCCTTTATGGTCACCACCGTTGTTCTCTCACCCCTACTGATCATAAATCTAAGAAGCAAAAAATATTAAATTCATATCTTATTCTCTTATATTTACTTCTGGCATCTGTGCTCCCTTTACTCATCTTCCATTCACTCCTTTCTTCACACATTTTCATATCTTGTCCCTCCTTCATTTCAGCTGCTTTCACTTTTAAATTTCTTCTGGAGTCCATAGATCACTAATTTGCAGTTAATCCAGCTGCTGTCCCTTGCTGTGATGCCTGTCCTTCCTCTTCCCTAGCTGACTCATCTCACACAGTCACACAGTCAGATCAGCTGACATTAGCTAGCGAGTAGTGATGAGTGGATGAAGCATTATGAAGCTTTGGGGCTTCAACAAACACAGTTGCATCTGGTGGCATGTAAAACTTATAGCAGCACTTTTAGACTGAGGCCGAAACGCCACCATAACTCACTGAAACAAATAATTTTAGTCTCATGTGTGCAATAAAAGTCAAAAAGGGTTATTTATGAGATTCAGACATGTGATGTGATTAGACAGTGATATTCATTAAACTAGCCTATTATTACTTTTGTTACATTAGTACAGGAACATCTCAAATCTAAAAAAAAAAGTAATATGGTGGAAAAGTTACTTGTAAGCACCAGAACCAGACTGAGAGATTAAAGACACTTTTGCAGGTTTTTTGAGTTAACTGATAAGAGCTCTGTATAAGAAATAATTTATTCTAAAAATTCTAATAATGTATGATGTAGATTAAAACGAAAAAAGGCTTGAAATATTTATCTGATTGTATTTTTAAATTAAATTATGAAAGAAAACAAACTTTTCCACGATATTAAATTATTTTACAGTAGGTACACCTATAGGCTACTTGGTATATTTATCATCAGGAAGAAATGTCCTCATACGTTCTCATACTCTCTCATGTCTTTCCAATCTTTATCACCATATTTCTCAACTATTCTCCCTTCTTATCCCACAAATGTGCCGAGATTAGCTGTAAAATGCCCTGAGATGATCATTTGATACAAGCTCAAGCACAATGTATTGAAACTGTGCACTTCAAAGGAGGGAAACAAGCCTGAGAATCAGCCAAACATCTCTAATAGCGAGATAATATGACCTAATAACTTCTAACTAGCCAGCAATACAGTCACTTAACTCACTTAAGTGTTAGAGCTGCGGACTCACAAACCTGAAACACTTGTCCACGGTTCACTGTGCTTCTGTCTGTGAACGTCCGGTGAGGTTTACCTCTCCGCATAAAAGACTTTGTCCATAACATCAGCTGGTTAACTAGCAATCTCGCTCACTGAGGGGGCGCCAGTGAAACAACACAGACAACTGCCTCCTATCACGACGACAAAGAAGAAGTGTTCTATTTTTCTTCTTCTTTAGTGTTCATTAAGGGTTGGCAAACCGACATAAAAGAGCTTTTGCTTTTGAAGGGAAATGAAACAAAGTTGAACTTATTTTAAAAACTTAAAAGATCCGGGGCTTATACAAAAGTTTTGGGGCTTTAGCCCAATTAGCCACCCCCAACTCCGCCTATGATTTGCAGGAAGGCCCTGATCACAATCACACTTGGAAGCTGCCCTGTACAACCGCAGCCTGGTCTGCTGGCCACTGAGCAGCTCCATTGGAGCAGTTGGGGTTATGGGCTTTGCTCAAGGGCACCTCAGTGGTGGTAAATGAGGGAAGGCAAGCACTGATTGTTTTACTTTCCACACCCAAATTCATCCTGCCGGTCTCGGGATTGAACCGGCACATGGTTAATTGACATTATAGTTTGAGCATTGTGATTCATTCTCAAACTTGGGAACGTTCAATGCTCACATTTTAATATTTTTTTCCCGAGCTTTGATCATATCCCATGGTCCTGTTAAGCAGAAAATAATACCGTGACGTGCATGCAGTTGTCAGCAGCACAGCATGCACTAAACTCTGCACAAGACTGGTGAATGGCAGGCGAGAAAGAGAGAGAAAAGGGTCAACAATAAACTGGAAATTTACAGTGTAAGTTGACTGTGTAGCATGTCTAAACTAGCTATGAATATTAATAAATTAGTGAATTAATACCCAATAATGAATTTTAATATTCAGAAAATATCAATCCATAAAAAGCTCTCGTTTGAAAAAGAAGGGGCACCACCGGAGTTGTTATAATCCTAGAGTCTCCGAACCTCTAGGTAGCTTTTAATAATTATACAATTATTCACCAGTGATCAGTTAGTTAATAATCGCTCAATTATCTTAAATCAATCAGTCAGTCTCAATCTAAAGGGTATATTCTCTTGGCAGGGACGTAGAAATAGGCAACACACAATTCCTTGGTTACAGTGAAACTATTAACTAACTAAGGTGATATAAAAAGGTGGTTAAATACATCAGGGAAATAATAATAATAATAATAATAATAATAATCTTTATTTGTAGAGCACTTTTCAAAAACAAGTTACAAAGTGCTTTAACAAGTGTAAAGACAATAATACCCAAGAGACAATAATGACCATTGAAAAGACTAAAATACACGTTCAAGGGGATAAAATAAAGTCAAATTGGGAAAGGCTGGTTTTAAGAAGGGACTTAAAAGTTCACTGAGGCGACCTGATTTCCTCGGGCAGGCTGTTCCAGAGCCTCGGGGCCCTGACAGCAAATGCTCTGTCCCCTTTAGTTTTCAGTCGAGACTCTGGAACAGACAACAGACCTCTGCCCGAGGATCTCAAGGTGCGTGCTGGTGTGTATGGGACTAAAAGGTCAGAAATATAACAAGGCGAGAGGCCATGAAGAGCTTTAAAAGTGATCAATAGAATTTTAAAGTCAATTCTAAAACATACTGGGAGCCAGTGTAATGAAGCTAAAATAGGATTAATGTGGTCATATTTCTTTGTTCTGGTTAAAAGCCTGGCAGCTGAGTTCTGGACAGTCTGGAGTCGATCAATAGATTTTTGGGTTAAACAGGTGAAAAGGCTGTTGCAATAATCCAGGCGTGATGAGATGAAGGCGTGTAAAATGGTCTCGGTGTCCTTAAAAGTTAACATAGATCGAATTTTTATATATTTCTAAGTTGATAACAACATGATTGAACAAGCTTTGTGGTGTGCTGCTCGAAATTTAAATTACTATCAAACCAAACACCAAGGTTCTTTGCCACAGGCTTAATGTGATTTACTAGGGAACCAGCAGATGGCAGTATTTGATTTGCCATCTGCTGGGACCCGATGACCAGGATTTCTGTTTTTACTGAGTTCAGGAAATTATTTGACATCCATTTTTTAACTTCACAAAGGCAGTTGTTAAGTGAACTCAGCATTCCAGGGTCTGTGGATCTGATGGGCAAGTATATTTGTGTGTCATCGGCATAAATATGAAAAGAAATGCCATGTTTATGGATAATATGTCCAAGGGGAAGCAGATACAAGGAAAACTAAATGGGTCCTAAGACCGACCCCTGAGGCACACCATATTTAACTGGACAGAACGAGGAGACATTGTTGTTTACAGACACGCAAAACTTCCTATTTGACAGGTAGGATGAAAACCATTCTAGGGCAGTACCAGAGATCCCCACCCAGTGCCTCAGTCTGTCTAACATGATGTTGTGATCAATGGATCAGGACTGAGCACATGCCATCATCAGCAGACATTAAAGGTCATTGGGGACTTTAAGCAGGGCAGTCTCAGTGCTGTGGTACTTCCTGAAACCAGACTGAAACTTTTCAAATATTTAGTTATTTTCCAGTACAGTGAGCAGCTGTTTGGACACAATTCTTTCTAGAATCTTTGCAATAAAAGGCAGTTTTGAAATTGGTCTAAAATTTTCTAGGATGGAGGGATCTAAACCAGGTTTCTTCAAAAATGGGGCCCAACAGAATCCATTACTTTCATACTTTCAGGTATTACATCAAGTGGGCTGGAGGACACTCTCATTTGTGATACTGTTTTTAAAAGCTCAGACAAGTCGATGGGATAAAACTGGTTAAAACTCTCTTGTTGCTGGTGAGGAACCTCTGAGTAAGAGGCCGCGGGGGTAATAGAGGCTCTGATTGACACCACCTTATTGGTAAAATAAGATAAAAACAATTCACAGTCATCATTACTTCCAGCTGAGGCACAAGGAGGGGTTGGGTTTA